GCCCTCGATCCCCTCGCTCCGCGCTTGCCCACCGGACCGGGCGAGATGGTGGCTGCCCGCCCGTCGGACAGGACGCGGTACCGCCTGTCGCGCCATTGTACTGCCGCGTCGCCGCGTCGTCGTTGGAATGCAAAGAGAGGCTCGGGATCAGTCAGCCCATCTGCATATCTCCGCTCGCAGCTGCGCCACGTCGCGCCACTCCTTGCCTCGATCCTGTGCACTCACTGGTACTGCCCGACACGGCCCAGGCCCAGATGGGCAGCGCCATGGCCTCGCGGATGCACCACGCCTTGATCAGGGTCCAGCCCTCGCCTGGCTGGACGGGCTCGCCGCCCTGGAGGGCCACCATGACCTGCCAGTCGACATAGCCCCACGCGGCAAAGTGGGCGGCGAGGAAGAGGGCGGCTGATGTGGCCGACGTCGCGCCGAGGAACCAGCGGACGGCGACGAGGCCAAGCAGGCCGGCGACGACGCTCTCGGTCAAGGGCTCGGCGAGCGTGGCGCCGAGGACCATGTGTTTGCGCACGCGGATCCAGCGCATGCGGCGCTCGGCGTAGTCGCGCAGCGTCCGGATGTCGCCGACCGACGTGTGGGCCACGTCGCCCCGCGCGAGGACATGCGAGAGGCTGAGCGGCGGCCGCCACAGAGAGAGGGCGAGCATATTGTCCTCGGCCAGGTAGATGCCGAAGCGGGCGAGGGCGCGCGACGACGTGCGGACTGTAGTTGTCGTCGTCGGCGGCGACGGCGGATGCGGCGTGGTGGCGACGGTGGTCGTGCTGGTGGTCGCTGGTGCTGTCGACGACGATGCGGCCGCGCCACCGGCCTGAGACGAGGGGAGCGGCGGCGTCGGCGATGAGCGCGAAAATGAGGAGGCAAGGAGCGGCTGCTGCTGCTGCTGCCGCCGCCGTGCGTCCTTGTCGGTGTCGGCGTCGACGTCGACGTCGACGTCGTCCTCGGCGGTTGCGTCGCCTTCGTGCCGCGTGAATGCGTCGCTGCCAATGGCGCCCGACTCGCCGCGGCTGCCGCCGGTGCCGACCTCAAAGAAGCTGTCGGGGACGCGCTCGAGGTCCGACCTGCGATACATGTTGCTCTTGCCCATGACGCAGCTGTCGATGGCGAGCGAGTTGATGGCGAGGTACATCTTTGCATGCGTGGTGCTCAGAAAGACGCGCTCGACCTGCGAGCCCCAGCTGGTCCCGGGCAGCACGGCGAGGGGCACGTGGTGGACGAGGCCGACCCTGGAGCCGTGCGGCTTCCTGCCGAGCCAGGTGGGGAGGGGCCGGGGCTGGTCGTGGGCGCGGATCAGGTGGTCGACGGCGCGGGCCATTGCGCCGGGCGGGGACCACACCTGGCTGTCGACGACCCAGAGGATGTCGTGGCGTGCCTGCGAGTAGGGGCGGACAAGGTTGTTGATCTTGGGGTTGACGCCGGCCACCTCGTCGCCGACGACGATGCGCGCCTGTATGCGCGGGTAGCGCGCCATGACCATCTGCGCGACGCCAAAGACCTTTTGCGCCTCGCTGCTCTGCGTGTCCTTGATGCTCAGCAGCACCTCGAAGCGGTCGGCAGGGTAGTCCTGCTGGAACGACGACGACAAGTTGGACACGAGGTTGCAGTCGAGCCCCGAGAGAGGGCGAAGGATCGAGACGCCCGGCACCGACGAGGTGTCGGAGTCGACGACGGCGGCGCCTGCATCGTCGCGGGGCCTCTGCTGTGGCACAGCATCGGAAGAGGGCCGGGACAGGGCGTTGGTGACGAGGTCCGAGGTGCGATGGGGTGCGAGCGGCGAGCGCGGGATCGGAGGGCGGAAGTAGGATCGGGCGAGCGAGAGGCCCAGCAGGCAGATGGACCAGATGATGGCGTACCAGGCTAGGCAGAGGTAGGCAAAGAGCGACCACATCGCGCCGGAGTGTATGCCAGTGAGGGAGGGGTCTGGAGCGCGGCAGAGGAGGTGGGTAGCCCCAGCGGACCTCGTCTGCTGGTACGGGTTCAGGGATCGAAGCGACGGCGACACACCACCGCTGCCAGCCACCTCTGGTATCGAGGCAGGCTCGGTGGCCCCGAAAGGGACTGGGCCGGCAGCAAGGGGCAGCGAACGCCAAGAAGGCGGGCCGAAGGGCTGCGACTGACGACGGGAAAGAGGAGAGGGGAGCGGGGGCGAGGCGGGCGGGGGATGATGGTGGTGGTTTATATGGAAGGGTCCGCCCCCCCCGCCCTGCTCTTTGTCTGCGCTTCCGAGTGTGCGTCGCCCAATTTCCCCGCTGCTGGTGCCCTGCCCGAGCGTTGCCGGGCAGGGGGGCAGGAGCTGATCCGTGCGTCTGGCTAGCCAAGCTTGGCCTGACCTGGCCTGACCTGGCCGACGCTGTGGAGGCGGGCGGCGCGTGCCCGCGCTCACAAGCAAGCAAGCAAGCAAGCAAGCAAGCAAGCAAGCAAGCAAGCAAGCAAGCAAGCAAGCAAGCAAGCAAGCAAGCGTTCAAGCAGGCGGCCGCTCTCTCTGGCGACGCCCACCGTTTGGCGTGCAGCTGCTGCTGCTGCCAGCGGGACTAGCTAGTCCTGACGCTGTCGCGGATCGGTCCGGACCCGAAGCCGTTCGGTTCGAGGCCGCAGGCGTGGACAGGCAGGGCAAGGGGCAAGGCGGAGGTGACGAGCAAGTGGATTTGTACAGGTGGGAAGCCAAGAAGTAGGGGACATACAGGAAGCCGAGGCGGGCGCGGCTTGACTCTAATCGTCGTTACGGAGCGGTGGTGGTTGTGGTGGCCGAGTGCGTGTGCATGTGTATGAGCGTGCATGTGCGGATGCGTGCTGGCCTCGGTCCGCGGCTTAGACGGTGCTGCTGGCCAAGCTTTTGATCGAGACTGAGAGGGAGGAGGGACCGAGGGGGCAGGAGGGAGGATGTCGGATGTCGGATCGGGAGCGAAGAGGAGCGGGGGCGCCGGCAGTGCGGGTCCGATCCGATCCGATCCGATACACTCCACGCCGGCACATCCCGGCGTCGCGCTTGCCGGTCGAAATCCGCCGCGAGCCGTCGTCGTCCATCTCGATGGTCCGGAGAGGCCAGGGTTTCTCGGCTTGCCTGCCGACCGGCCCACACACCGGCTAGCGCTCCATCCTCGCCCTCCGTTCCGGTCGCTGCAGGCGTTGTGGATGGCTCGCGCAGCCGCCTCGAGTCCGCTTCGTCCGTCACGCTGGACCGATCCCGCATCTCTCTATGCCATCCGACGTCGTCTTCGTTTTCGTTATCGTCTTCGTCATCGGCTTCGTCATTGTCGCCGCGTCGTCGCCGCCGCTGCCGCTAGGGGAGTACCGAGCAGCTCAGACGTACTGTCCAAAGAAGGGGATGAGGGACTGGGCGATGGTGAAGGAGAAGACGAGCTTGGGGCCGACGACGAGGACCTTTGGTGTGAGGCCCTTGAAAAAGGCGCGGAAGCCCTCGTTCTTGATCATGTCCTTGATGATGGTGACGCCGCCCACCTTGCTCTCGAAGTTGGCGTTCTGGATGCGCGTCTTGACGACGTCGAGCGGCGCCGCCACCGTGATCGAGGCGACCGAGCCGCCGATCGAGGCAAAGAAGTTCTGGGTCCAGGTGGCCGAGTTGTAGTCCTTGAGGCCAAAGACGTACTCCTTGGTGAAGGCCGAGCCGCCAAAGAGGGCAAACGAGCCGGGAGCGTTGCGGGCGGCGGTCCAGCCCCAGCCGCGGTAAAGCGCCACGTTCTCGTCGGCAAGGATGCGGAGGAAGCCGCGCGACCGGAACGCCTCGGGGTTCGTCTGGCGCTTGATCTTGAGCACATCGAGCGGGAGCAGCACAATCTCGCCGATGCCGGTCAGGCTGCAGGGGCGATGGCAAACCGTGGGCAGGGTCGAAGAGCGAGGTCAGCATTGTCCCATTTCGATGCAGCATCGACGCAGAAGGCCGCCGGGCAGCGAGCGAGCACTCACGATCCAGCGGTGGCGCTCATCATCGACTTGCCGGCGCGCTCGCCAAAGAGGTTGTCAAACTTGGATTTGTAGTTGCTGCGAAGGTAGTCGTTGAAGTAGGGCTGGCCGCCGAACTTGTAGATTCGCTGGAGCACCTTGTAGCCTGCAGCAAAAGGCGCGGCGGGGGCGCGGATGGCAGAGGAAGGCAGGCGTCAGCATCGTCAGCCATGTCATGGTATTGATGGGGCTCATCTTGTGCTCTATCTGCTGTTCGTGACGCTCGGGGCTACCCACCTGCGGCGTAGCCGAGACCGGGGAAGAGGGACATGAACTTGGTTCCGACGCTGGCCGTCGCCTTGTCCTTGAAGACGATCTGCGACATGCTGATGCCCTGCTGCTTGTTGGACATGAGGCGCTTGGCGACGGTGTCGACGGGGTGGAAGACGAGGAGCTCTGCGATGCCCGAGGTGCCCGAGCCCAGCAGGCGCGCCTGGGCCGAGTCCCTCTTTCCTCCTGATGCAATCGGCGGAGACATGGCGGTCGAGGTACGAGAAGAAAGACGAGAGCAGCCGAAGCGAGGAGAATGTAGGGAAGAAAAGGAGACGAGGAGAATCAGGAGGAGCGGTCGAGTGGCCGGTGCGTTGCGTGCGCGAGCAGGTGGATGGTGGTCAGAGGACGGGACGGTGAAAGGTGAGCGGATGGGCGAGCCCTGGATGAGAAGGTCTGGGTCTGGCCGGGTCGCGGGCAGCAGCGGCTGCAGCCTTGCCTGCAGGAGGAAGTCTGTGGCAGGCCAGCCGGCCATGGGCAGGCGAGCAGTCAAGCAGTCGAGCAGTCGAGCCTGGCTTGGGGCCTTTCAGCCATGCGCGCGCCCGCTTCGTCCTGCCGGCCAGCCTCACCGGCCCGCCCGTCCGCCAACTTTTTTTCTCTCGTCTCTTTTTTTGAGAAGGACGCGGGCGCTGCCTGGCAGGCCGGCAGGCCGTCCGTCCGGCCCCTGCCGATGCGGCCCAGATAGAGCCCTCTCACGGGCGGGCGGTGGTGGTCATCGTCTTCATCAGGGTCAGATTGATCCGCCTTCGAGGTCGCCAGGCGATGTGGTCAGCGTCCGATCGCAACGCTCCGGAGCCGTCCTGCGACGTTCTCGGAAGTCGAACGAGGCAGGCGAGTGCACGGCGGAACCCCTGTCGCGGTGCCAAGGTCACGTATATATGTAGATCGAGATGGCCGCTGTCGGCTGTTTGATATCAGTTGGCGACGAGGGGCCAATCGCGATCCGGCGTCCAACGATGCCGTTGGGGTTGGAGTTGGGGGAGGTTGGGTCTGCAGGCCCAGGGGCCGAGTCAGACGGACACCGGCCAACCCTGACGGCCCAAACTCGGAACCGGCCCCGATCTTTTTTTTCGACTCTCGAGACTTTTTTTCGACGGGTGCGGGTGCGACAGCTCGCCTGCCGGCGGCGTGGGTCAAGAAGAAAAAAGGGAGGCGTCCGACCTTGTCTGGCTCGCTAGAGGGCGCTCGCCTTTCCACCCACCACCTTCACCATCCACCCGCACCCTCTTCCGCCCAACCTCACCTCGACACAACACAACACAACACAACACAACACAACACCGCACGGGTGCCGACGATGTAGCGCACCAGGTAAGCATCGTCCGTCTTCGCTCGTCGATGGAGGGACACCTCGCGGTGGCCGCCGAGGTGGTGCGCAGCGCCGGACGAAAGGATGAAAACATTCCAAAACATCTTGAGCATTTGGCACTCTACCTATTTTGCCTCTTGCAAGGATCTCTATGTCATAGTTACACTGATCAGTCGTACCGCGGGTCCTGTTGGGCAAGGACAACGGGGAGGGCGGACCGTCGCTTGCAAGGGATGGAAGGAAGAGGAGGAGTCACTCCATCCAGATCGCGCTCGGGCAGTGGCTGACCGCTCTCTTTCTCCCTCTCTGCCTCTGCCTCTCTTCCCGACTTGGTCGTATCTAGATCGCCGGTCGTCGGTCGTCGGTCGTCTTCGTCTTCGTCGCAGTCGCAGCACCTCAATCCTCTCGTCGTTCTCCGGCTCGAGGTCGTCGCTCCACCCCAGCAAGCACCGAGGTAAGTGACTGCGCCCTTCTTTGCCGCAGCGACAGTCGCTGTCCGTCCCGTGCCCACTGCACCATGGAATCGAACAATCCTTCCCATCATCCCGCGAAAGCCATGGCCGTGACGGATTGTTTCGGAGAGCAGCCACGTCCGGTCTCGGCGGCTGCAATGCAGTCTTCATCCCCTCGTCGAGTCGCGATGGAGGAGGCAGCGCGCGATGACCGAGTGCAGTGCAGAGTGCAGTGCCATCCTCGGGCCGAATCCTTTGGCCCGTCTGTCGCAGAGCTTCGAGGTGGTGTCGAGGTGTTGTGGGAACGAATACAGCAGCAGCGGCGGCGGCGGCGGCGGCGGGCCTAGATGGGCTGTGATGCCCAACCGACGTGTGATTTCCTCGAGGCAGCGCCCGACGGGTTGCGACGGGCTCGGGTCGGCGAGCAGGTAGCGAGGGAGGTCCATATTCGATCGCTCATGGATGGGCAGGCGAGTGGTGGCGTCGTCGTCGTCGTCGTCGTCGGTGGACAAGTCGGGCGGCGGCTCCCACGCACCCTGCGGCGACTGTGGCAGTCATGGTACCGACCTAGGATTAGGATCGACGGAAGCCGACGGCCAACACCCCCAGCCCGGGGGGTGAGAACAAGGATGCCACGGTAGAACTCTGCTTCCGACGCAAGCTGGGCCGTGGTTGGATCCAAAGGCATGACCGGGTCAGACCAACAGGGCCAGGCAGGATGTAGCGTTGGTGGCGTACGGATGCACCAACGGGCGACGCCGCCGCCGCCGCCGTCGCCTCGTTTCATGCCTCCTCGAACCACTGCCTGCCTGGGTCCCTGCTTCTTCGCCCTCGTGCGAACCGCTCGTCGACAACCCCCGCATCGACGTTAACCTTCATCCGTTGTCGCAGGATGATGGGAAAGAAACGCACGCCTGCCGTACCTCTCTTCTCGCATCATCGTCGTCGTCCCAACGTGGCATGTCGGCCCGTCGTCGTTCTGCCGCCACCGCCGCCGCCGCCGCCGCCGCCGCCGCACGGCGTAAATAAGGCCACAGGAACACCTTCTCCCCTTTCGTTCGGGTACGGCCTTTGAAAAGAAGGCAGCTCGTCCGTTTCCCCTGCCCAAGTCGGGCGGGAATCGAGGGGCGAGTCGAGGGAGTCCATCCCAGCAGCGGTGCGATGCGGTCCGAGATGCAACGCCCCAGCCAGAGCGGCTGATGCATGCCACGGTAGTCGTGCCGTGCCCTGTCCTGGCGGTCGTGGTCGCGGTCGTGGTCGTGATCGTGAGATGCAAAGAAGCAGAGCGTGGGAGCGATCAAGGAAGGTGTGACCAGGCCGGGACACAATGAGGTCGGGCAACCCCGCCGCTGCGGCCCGCGCTCGTGAACATGGAGAAGGGGTGCAAGAGGCAGGGCGTACCTGTGCAACGCTTCCCATGCTCGGAGGTCCACAGACTGCCTTGCCTGGTCAGGCCGGCACCTGCTCGATGTCGCCTGGCTGCACCCGCCTTCTACATCGCAGCCCCCCCGACCATCGACCGGCTTGACGGCCGCGAGAAGAGGGCCCAGCGAGGACTGTGATCCCGCCAGGCGGTCGGTCTGATGGCGATGGTGGAAGGCGTATAAGTGCAGGCCTGGGATCGTCGCTTCACCTCGATGCCGATACCCAAGCACGCTTCTCCTGCCACGACCGCCCTGCGACGACCGACTCACCGACTCTGCGACCGACCTCGACGAGACACGACCGCAACGACTGGACTTGCTCGACGAACCCGGCGGCGAGCAAGTGAGCGAGCGAACCTCGCCCCTGACCCTTGACCGCTGCGCAACCTCGCCGCGATGCGGTGCCCGACCTTGACGCTCCTCCTGCCCGCGCTGCTGCTCGCCTTGACGGGCGCGGGCCCCACGGGATCGCTTCCGGTGACGACGACGACGACCACGACGGATCCAACCTCTGCATCGCCCTGGTTCCCCACGCCCGCCTCGATGGCATGCGCCGAACTCTCCTACCTCCTCGCCCCCGCCACGTACCGCAGCGCCGCCCGCTCCGACACGGCCTTTAACCTGATCAACACGCGCTCGACGCCGCGGTGCACCGTCTTCCCGCGCTCGACGGACGACGTGTCGCGGGCGATGCGCGTCATCTTCCGCCACCAGGCGCGATACGCCGTCCAGTCCGGAGGCCACTCGGGCATGCAGGGCTGGGACACGGTCTCGGACGGCGTGCTGATCCACCTCTCCCAGATGAGGGGCATCGACTACGACGCCGACCGCCGCACCGTCACCTTCGGGCCCGGAGTCCGGTGGGGCGAGGTGTACAACGCCACCGCACCGCACGGCGTCTCGGTCCTCGGCGGCCGCGTCGGCGTCGTGGGCACCGGCCTGCTCCTCGGAGGTGGACTGAGCTTCCTCAGCCCGCAGTACGGCTACGCCTCGGACCAGCTCGTCGAGGTCGACGTCGTCCTCGTCGACGGCCGCATCGTCAGGGCGTCGTCGCGCGAGAACGTCGACCTCTTCCGCGCCATCAAGGGCGGCGGTGGCAGGTTCGGCATCGTCACCCGCTGGCAGGCGAGGGCCGTCGAGACGGGTACCGAGAACGACAAGCACTGGTACGGCGGCAACATCTACGTGAGTAAGCGCGCGCGCGCGATGAGCCTCGCCTTGTAGCCGTGCTCGATTTGCGCACGCCGTCCGCCGCCGTCCGCCAGCGCCGCCGCTGATACCCGCTACTGATCCGCTCGCCTCGCTCTGTCGTCCTGCTCCCGCTCCGGCCTTGCAGTACGCCGAGGGCCAGATCGAGCAGGTCCTCTCGGCCGTCGACCGCCTGGTTGCGTCGCCAGACGACCCGCGCGCAGCGCTCACCGCCTCGTTTGGCTTCACGCAGCAGCCCAAACTGACGTGGTCGGGCGCGCTGCAGGTCTTCTACCGGGGCGACCGGGCGGCGTTCGAGGCCCACTACGCCGATCTGCTCGCGATCCCGGCGGCCATCATGGACGTCCAACCGCGCTCCTACCTCGACGCCACGCGCCAGACGCCCGTCGGATACGAGGGCAAGCTGAGCTACCGATGGTGGGGCCAGATGACGCGGCCGTCGCCGGCGGGTGAGAAGGTGACGCGCTTCCACGAGCTCTGGAGGGCGTACCGTCGATACCTCGTCGACAACCTGCACCTGTTGGAGATGAGCTTTATGAGGTGAGGCACGGAAGCAGCGCCGTCGTGTGCATGACAGGCAGCCGAGCGTATCGACTCACATTGCGCCTGCCCCGGCTCCTCCCCTGCCGTGGTCCGACCCGCCTCGCCCGCAGCATTACGCCCATCAAGACGACGCATGTCGAGCAGAGCTACCGCAACGGCGGCAGCGTCATCTCGCCGCCGCGCGGCGTCAACTTTGCGTCGGTGCAGCACTCCGACTACCTGTTTGCCAACCGCACCGCCTTTCCGGCGTCGATGGACGTCGAGCGCGCCGCTCTGGGTGCCGAGTGGAGCCGGTCGGCCGATGCGCGGGGCCTGCCGCTCTTTCTCAACGAGGCCGACAAGAGCCAGGACACGTTTGCCACCTACGGCGCCTTTGACGAGATGCGGCGGACCTATGCCCGCTGGGACCCGACGAGATTCAGCATGAGGCTGCAGGACGGGCCCAAGGGGCTGTGACCGGGCGCGGCGAGAAGGTCCCAAGGTCACTATGCTGTGCTGAATGTATTGTAACGAAGCTCTCGACGACGTGACGACTGGCCTCGAAAAGGATCAACCCCTACTTGCACGACTGCCGGGGGCCAAGGACCGAAAGGGGTGTTATGCCGCGGACGGCAGGAGTGTCTCCAGAGCAGCGATGACCGTGCTGGCCTCGTCGCGGATCCGCCTGATGTCGTCGAGGGCGGTGCGCAGCTGCTTCTTGAGCTGCACGTTCTCATCCCGCAGCGCCACTAGCTCTTCTCGATCCGAGACGCCGTTACGATGGTCAACTGTGAGTCCGAACGCGTGCCGATCGGTTGGAACGCCCGCGCCTGGAGCCGGCCGGGTGTCGGGCGCTGATGGTGCTGCGATGCTGCCCTCGTCGTCCGAGTAGCCGGCCCAGAAGTCGTCCGCGTCGCCAATGTACTCTGCGGGGTCTTGCTCGTCTTGGTCGTTGGGCGTTGCGGATGAGGATGCCGGCGCGGCTGCCAGCGACGAGACGGCTTGCGGGCCGGGTGTGTGCATTGGCGGTACGACGGCCGACCATACGTCGCCGACGATGGGGATGGACGAGGTGGGGAGCATGTTTTCGTAACTGACTGTGATGCCGGTGGGGTTGCCGCAGTCGGCGACGAGCAAAACGGTGAGCTGTTCGGGGTCGGCATGGCCTGGTGAGAGGTCTAGGCGGATTCGGAAGCTGCGGGCGTCGCCGGGTGCGTAGAGGGTGCGCTGGACGATGTCGCTGTGCAAGTGTGCGATGTGTGCGGGTTTGGGAGCGCTGATGAGGCGTGCGCGGAGGCTCCAGAAGAGGTCGGACACGCGGTCTAGGGTGGGGACGGGGTGGTCGGAGGGGTATAGGTCGGTGACGAGCCAGCGGATGAGGCGCGTCCTGGCTGCGTCGCTGTTGGGGCCATCATCGCCGCCGTCGTCGGCTGCGCCGCTGTGAGCTTCGGGGAGGAAGCCGAGCGGGTGCGGGTGCGGATGTGTGCCTGCCAGGGACGACGCCGGGTCGTTTGCCCTTGGCGGGGCGTCGGGGAGCGAGAGGAGGCGGAGGCGGGTCGCGAGGTTGGGCGCGATGCGGTTGGCTGGGAGCGCGGGTGGCTGAGCGAGAAAGAGGGAGGCGAGGATGTGGGTGATTTCGCTCTCCATGGCGGTTGGGGCCCGACGTTGAGCGCGAGAGAGAGAGATGCTGGGGATGAGTAGAGAGCAGGACGACAAGAAGGTGCGGCGGCCCTCTGCTGCAACCAACAGCAAACGAAAAATCAGAGCAAGGTCGAGGGCTCAGCCCCAAAGACGCCCACACACGAACGGGCCATCCATGTGGAGGCTCGAGGCGCGGGCGAAGAGAGAGAGAGAGAGAGAGCAGAGGTGAAAGCGGCGTCGGAGGCGGGCCGGGCCGAGACTGCCAAGAGGCCCCAAGAGGCTAGGCAGAGGCAAGCAGCGGCGGCAGCACGGCAGGCCAGGCCAGGCCGCCCACGACCTTGAATTTGTATTCCAACCCGCCGCCCCAATTTCTTCTTGGGGCGTCGAAGTTGCATTTGGCCCGACCTACAACCTGCGCTTGTATTCAAAGGCAGGCACAGCCCTCCCCAGGCCCGCGGACCATCGATTTGGCCAGGCCTGCCGTGTGGCTCTCCACACTACACTCTGGCTGCCATCCATCCTGGTTCTCATCCGCCTCTGCCTCGCCACGCTTCCCGGTCACCATCACCGACCGCCTTGTCCGGCACACTCTTGCCTCGCACCCCCTATTCCTCCTCTCTCTCTCTCCACCACAACCTACCACCACCGCCACCACCTGCCACCGCCGCCGCCGCCGCCCAAGATGAAGGGCTTCGCCAAGGCCATGAAGCGCACGCCGCACCTCATGTCGTCGCGCGTCGGCCTCGCGGCAAAGTCGAGCGACCCGCAGTTTGACTCGCTCCAGCAGAGATTCGCCAGCCTGGAAAAGTACGCAGAGAAGCTCCTCAAGGACAGCGCCACTTTTCGCGATGCCGTCAAGAGTGGGTGCCGTCGTCGTCGTGGCTGCCTGTCGCCTTTCGTACCTGACTGACCGGATCGCCCCGCCTCGCCCCCCCTCGCCTCGATCCCCTCCTCCTGTATCCCCTGCCCCGGGACCCCACCAGACATGCTCCTGTCCGGCTCCGACTTCGGGCGACACTTTGACCTCCTCTTCCACCCCATGGGCGCCGAGTACGACCTCGAGCGCCGACACCCGCAGGCCGCCCACACCATCACCAACATCTCGGCCTACCTCACCCACATGGAGGAGCTCAAGGACACCCTCACGCCCGAGATTGAGCTCATCGAGTCGCGCGTCGTCGGACCCGCAAACGACTTCCTCGCCGTCCTCAAGGCCATCCGCAAAAACATCACCAAGCGCGACCACAAGCTCGTCGACTTTGACCGCCACAACAACGCCTACTCGAAGCTGCGCGACAAAAAGGAAAAGACGCTCAAGGACGAGCAGGCCCTCTTCAAGGTCGAGCAGGACTACGAGACCGCAGCCGCAGACTACGAGTACTACAACAACGCACTCAAGGAGGAGCTGCCCAAGTTCTTCGAGATGGCCCAGCGCTTCATGACGCCCCTCTTTTACAGCTTCTACTACATGCAGTGAGTGCCGGTGCCGGTCAGCCAGTGGGCAAAGCAGAGGTCGCCGCCGCCAGTCAGCCAGTGGGCAAGCAGAGGTCGCCGCCGCCGTCGGAACCCGTCAGACTCACCCCTCCGTGCCCCTTCTCTCCCTCTCGCGCCGCCCACCGCTCGCAGGCTCAACGTCTTCTACCTCACCCTCGAGCGCCTCCAGTCGTTCACCGAGGGCAAGTACGACATCTCCGAGACGTCGCTCAACACCGTCGAGGACCACTACCTCTCGCAGCTCACCGACGCCGCAGAGAGGCTCGACGCCCTCTCGATCCGCAAGCCCGTCGGGCCATCGGCGCGCATCCTGGCCGCCAATCGCTCTTCTTCCTCGACCGCCTCCCTCGCCGGCGGGCGCGCCGCGGGCGGTGGGCTGGCAGCAGGCGCCCCCTCGAGGTCTGGCACCCTCAACCGCCAGATGTCGACGTCGAGCAGCACCGTCTCGTCGCCCGCCTCGGCATCGAGGGCCTCGATGGGCGCAGCCGCAGCCGCAGCCCCGCCACCCAGCTACTCGCCCGCATCGCCAGGATCGACGACGGCGGCGGCCAGCAGCGCAGCCGCAGGAAAGAGACCTCCCCCGCCGCCACCGCTCAAGCCCAAGCCCGGCATGGCGCCAAAGGACTACGTCGTCGCCCTCTACGACTACACCGCGACGGTGAGCCCCAGCGTCTGCCGCTGCCCCGCCCTCTCCCTTCAAAGACAGCCGCTGACCTTCGTCTCCTCGCCCTGCTTCGTCTTGCCACGTCCCGCTGCATCCATCCACCCACCTACGCGCGTCCAGGCCGAGGGCGACCTGTCGTTCAAGGCCGGCGACCGCATCGCCGTCACCGAACGGACCGCGTCCACCGAGGACTGGTGGACGGGCGAGCTCAACGGACAAAAGGGCGTGTTTCCCGGCAACTATGTCCGCGACGAGTGAGCCGGCGTATGGCGCGGGCCATCGATGGTCGCTGCCCGACGAACCCTCCTCGTGGCACGGCCTCTCTGCCGCGCGCGCAACGGAAATCGCGATGGTCCCTCTCTGTGCATAGATGTGTCGTCTCGAAAACGCCCGGTGGCTGCATCACTTTCGGCTCCGTTCCTTGGCGTACTGCGTCGACTGCGACCTCGTCACTTCAGTACCCGCCTGCGCCCGCGCCAGCGCCGCCGTTGACGTGCATGCCCGCCACGCCCTGGGCGAGCGCAGCTGTCGGATCCTGCTGCTGCGTCTGCTGCTGCGGTGGCTGCGGCGGCTGCGGCGGCTGGTAGGGCGACTGGACGTGCTGCGGTGCACCATAGGCCTGCGGAGCCGGAGCTGCGCCCGCGCCACTGCCCGAGGCGCCGGCGTTGGCAAAGTACTGCTGCTGGAACGCCTCGCCCTCGGCGCGGGCTCGCTCGTAGAGCCGACGCTTTTCGTCGTCCTGCGGCGGCGCAAGGCCGTAACCCGACGGCCCACCAGGTCCGCCAGGCTGGTATCCGGACACGTCGGTCGACGAGGAGGCAGCCGAAGGACCGCCCCCGTTGACGGGGCCGGAAGGCGTCAGGTGCGGCTGCGAGCCGTAGGGCTGCTGCTGCGGAGGCGCAACGTGGTGCTGAGGTTGCCCTTGCGGCTGTTGCTGCTGTTGCTGCGGCGATGCCGAACCAGACAGCGATGGTCGAGATCGACTCGTCAGCATCCTCACCACGTCTGTGCCCTCCTCCGCGCGTGATTTCACACTCACCTGGGCATGGTACCACTGCGCGTAGTCGTCCTGGCTTTGCTGCTGCGGCTGCTGTGGCTGCTGCTGTGCTTGCGGTCCCGGGCCGTAGCCTGCCGGCTGGCCAGCGGGCGGCACCCCGCCGTACTGCTGCGGCTGCTGGCCGTAAGCGGGCCCGCCGCCGTACTGGTTGCCGTAGTCGGGCTGGCCATGCTGCGTCGGGATCGAGCCGGCAGACGGGTGCTGGATAAAGTCGGGGCGGGGGCGCAGATAGTCCTGGGTCGACTGCCCGCCCGGGTTGTACCTGGCCAGGCTCTGCTCCATCATCTCGTCAAACGTGCCGCGTGCGCGCACAAACTTGTCGTTCATGGCCTTGAGCTCTGTGATCTTGGTGCTGTAGCGGTCGATGAGCTTGACAATCTTGGGCCGCATGGCCAGCGACGTCTGGTAGAGCTCCTGCAGCTCCTCGTCCTCGGTGAGGTTGTCGCGCGCCGGGTCGAGGCCGCGCAGCTTGCTCAGCAGCAGGTCGATGTTGGCCGCCTGGCTAAAGATGCGCGCCTCCATCTCGGCCTCGCGGCGCATCTCGTCGGGCGTCGGGTCCGGCAGCACCTCGACGTAGTTGACGGGGAAGATGCCCGCCTCGCCGCGCACCTCGCCCCGCCACCAATGCTCGTAGACCGAGTCGAGGACGCGGATGACGTCGCCCTTGCTAAAGGCCAGCTCGCCAGGCTCGGTGGGCGAGAAGTCGTACAGCGCCCGGACGCGCGAGGCGACGGGTGCGGGCGTGCCGGCAGCCTGGGCAGCGTCAGCCTGCGGTGCCGCAACAGGCGTGGCGGCGGCAGCAGCGGCTGGTGCGGTCGACGAGGAAGACGAGGCCTGCGGGTAGCCGGAGGTCGAGGACGCCTGAGCCGGCGCGACGTAGTTGTGCGGAGCAGAGGAAGAAGGACCAGCGGCGGCGGCGGCGGGTGCGGATGCTGCGGCAGCCGACGATGACGAAGACTGACCGGCCGTCTCGCTCGGGTGGCTGGCGACCCAGTGGCCGCGTCCTCCCTGGTCCTGGACCGAGAGCTCCAGCACGCGCCTGAGCTCTTCATCCTCGGCCCTCAGCTGCTCGGAGCTGGGCTCGGGTCTCTCTGGCTCGGGCTCGTCCTCGAAGTCGGCGTCTGGCGCGGTGGCGAGAGAAGGGAAAGGTAGAGGCGGTGGACAGAGCAGGTCAATGAGCGTTCTGGAACTCAGCACTCGCCGCCGCGCAGTGCTCCTTCTGCGCCGCGCTGACTGTGCACCCACTCTGCTGCTTGAGCGCGTCGTAGGTCTCGCGCATGAGGTCGAGGCTTTCGTCTTCAAAGTCGTTTGCCCACTGCTTGATGAGGGAGAGGCAGCGCTTCTTTACGGTGGCGTGAGTGTTTCGGTCGAGGCTGATGCGGGAGAGGGTCTGGGTAAAAGAGCGGCTTGCGAGCTCCTGGTGCACGGGCAGGCCGCAGTTCTTGGAGAGCGTGTCGGAGAGGGTGAGGGCGTAGAGCTGGACGTTTGCGTTTCGGTGGATGAGGCGCTTCTGGATGGCGGCGACGCAGTTGCGGGCGCCCGTGTCGCCCTCGGACGAGACGCGGTCGCAGATGTCGAGGTTGAGCTGCCAGTCCTCGGAGGTGAGCTCGTCCGAGGTGGCCTTGATCACGACGTCCTCGAAGGGGTTCTTGGCCGCGAACATGGCGGGCGATGTGGGGCCCGGCGGCAGCGGTGGACAGTGGGATGGGGGGTCGAGGTGGCTCGCGTTGACAGGGAGGGTGCAAGCGCAGCGAGGGGGGGGGGGAGGGGGGTTGTGACGGTGTTGGGTGTCGATCGAGGAAGAGGGTCGCGGGATGGCAGGCGAGAGATGGTGATTGAGGTCGGAAGAGAAGGCTGAGCAGTAGGGTGAGGGCAGCTGCGAAGGAAGGTGGGCAGGCGACGTGAGGCGAGGCGAGGCGAGGGTCGTCGTTGGGCTTGCTTGGCTCTCGCCCGCTTGGCCTGGGCTAGCTAGCTGCTGCTTGGCCAGGCCAGCTGGACGCATGTGAGCACATGGCTCGAGCACCGCCACGCTGCGCCTCTCGGTCTCTCTTTCTCTGTCTGGCCCGCCTCTCCACTTGTGGCCGACCAGCCTGCCCAGCCTGCCTGCCCTGCCTGCCTGCCTCGTCTGCCCCTAAATCGCCGCCACAGCGCGGAAGAATTTCGGATCTCGGCCAAGCCAGCACCCCAACGCCGGCCTAGCTCCGCAAAGCCCTGGCCGCCTCGCACGCTCCTCTTTACCACCACCGCCACCACCATCTTCGACGGAGCCTCACGACCACACACACACACACGTCCCCTCTCCGGCGCATCAAGCACTACCTCCCCACCTTGCTTCGATCTGTACATCATGGCATCGGCCTCGCTCCTCGCACCGGGCCGGCACGATCCGCTCTCGACCATCACCCTCGACGGCATCTCCATCTCCGCCACCGACAGCGGCGATAGCGATGCCGATGACTCCTTCCACGACGCCGAGGATGCGCCAAGATCGACAAAGGAACAGCAGAGAGCCGGTCAAGTAGACAATGACGACGACGACGACGATGACGACGATGCACCGCCAGCATTCCCTAGCCTCAACAGCGCACAGCGCCAGTCGGGCGCCCCTCCCTCTTCCTCCTCCTCCTCATCGTCCAAGCCCTCTTCAGCTGCCGCCTTCCTCCAGTCCATCAAGGCAGCACCACCATCATCTGCGGCTTACAAGGCTTCAAAGGACGCAGCGCTCATGCCTCCGCCACCTCCGACCCTCGGCGGCGGCGGCGGCGGCGGCGGCGCAGCAGCAGCAGCAGGAGGGTTGCGGGTGCCCACACGAGGCAATGGCAGTGGCGGCGGCCTGGCGGTCCCGCCCAGCACCTCGGCCCTCAGCGCCCCTCCTGGCGTCGGCGGTGCGAGCGGTGCGACGCTCAACAAGGGCGAAAAGAAGCGCAAAAAGGTCGCCCTCGCCCCCGGCTGCTCGCCCCTCGACTGGGCCAGGCTCAAGAACAGCACCGACCTCCGGGTGAGTCCGCGTCCGTCGTGCCCAGCTCAGCCCCCGCTCGCCTCGTACTCACCTCTTGCGCAATTCCTCGTTCATCGTCGGCCGGCGATACACCGTCTCAAACTCGACAGGGAGGCATCACGCAGCTGATGCGCGTGACGCCGAGCGAGCTCAAGAAGCACAACACCCGCACCGACGCCTGGTCGGCCTTTTACGGAAAGGTCTACAACATCACCCCCTACCTCCGCTTCCACCCGGGCGGCGAAGACGACCTGCTCCGCGTAGCCGGCCGCGACGGCACGCGCCTCTTTGCCCTCACCCACTCCTGGGTCAACATCGACGCCATGATCGATACCGCCATGGTCGGCGTCCTCGTCTCCGAATAGACCCGCGCCCGCCGCCCGCCGCCCGCCGCCGCTCGGCCAGGCGCTGTGCTGTACTTGTATCCCCACCGTCCGCCTCTGTCGGCTCGCTTCGAATGCAGCTCTAGATGTCGTGTCCGTGTTCGCGTTCGCGTTTGCATCGCTGGCTCTAGGTGTGGATTCGTCGCACGCCGTCCTGAGGCAAGTCTACCGTCGAAAGGTGGAGCGGGGCCAGGGGCGCACGCCGCCTCTAGAGCGGGGCCGAGGGTTTGGTCTGCTGCCAGATGAGTTCGAGCTCCTCGCGCAGCGTCTCCTCGCGGAAGCGCAGTCGGATGTCCTGTCATGTGCCGTCGCCACGTCGAGGGACCAAAGACGGGTTGGCCAAAAGTCAGTACGGACAGCACAGCACGAAACCGGCTCGACTCGGCCAGGCCAGGCGCCACTGCAGGGGAGGGGGGGGCAGGAAGGAGCGGCAGACTCACGGGCACATTTGACTTGGCGACGACGTTTCCCCTCGGCCCGGCCTCTTGGAAGTTGGGGCCGAGCCAGTGCCGCTTGATCTCCATCTCCCATCCAGACTGGAGCACGCTGTGGCGCGCCAGCTCGCACATGTCGGCCGGCGTCAGCTTGTAGATCTGCGTCGCGACGCTGTACTCTTCCAGCAGCGGCTCCTTGGAAAGGTGGAACTGGAGCGGATCGTCGGTCGAAATCGAGACATTCATGCCCATCTTGAGGAAGTTGGGGAACGGGTTACGCTCGTACGACAGGAACAGGGCGTTGTTGCTCAGCGGCGACATGGCCAGGCCGATTTGCTTGAGCTGCAGCGCGGACGGGTGCAAGGCCGAGTCAGCACGCAGCGGGGCGGGGCAGGACGGGGCGGGGCGAGATGGGGCCAGAGGGGGGAGCATCGTCGGGCGAGGGCAGGCGGGCGAGAGCGTGCGAGCGACTCACGTAGTAGAGGTACTGGAGCGCCGGCACCTTGCGCAGCAGGATGCCGTGCGAGATCGACTGCGACGTCAGGAAGGCGGCCGCCAGGTGGTCGGTGTCGCCCGCCTCGCCCGCGTGGGGCCGCAGCACAAACGTGTTGAAGCCGCGCATGCGCCGCCACTGATTGAGGCTCGAGATGTTGGCAAACATGTAGTACAGCCTTGCGGCGGCGGGGCGAAAGCGAGGACGGGGATAGGGATGCGGCAGACGATCAGCGTCGACTTCGAGGGTCAACCCGTGTGCGAGGGCTGGGGCCGCCTGCCCCTGCCGCGAGGACTCACCAGTAGTTGTACGGCGGGCTGTGCTTAAAGTCCCAGAGCTTGGGCACGGGGAACTTGCGGTGGACGCGGCGCTCGGGCTTGCTCTCGTCATCGACCAGGTCAAAGCCAATGACGCGCTGCAGGAAGACGTGGAGCTTGGGGTGGCTGGTGGGGTCCTGGGTCACCTCAAACAGCGGCTCAAACACGTTGCGGATAATCTGCTCGAAGTTGTCGACGGTGCCGTTGGCCTTGTAGACGTCGTAGAGGCGCGGCACCTGGATCAGCCAGCGCACGTTGGGGCTGAAGAGGCCGTGGTCGACGACCCAGCTAGCCAGCTTGTCCCACTCGCCGCGCGTGCGGCCGTAGATCGAGATGCGGTACTCGGCCATCTGGTACTTGCTCTGCTCCAGGTCCGCCATCAGCTCCTTTGTGATCTCGGCCAGGTAGCGCCCTTTGATGAGGTTGTCGGTCTTGAGGAAGATTTCACGCAGGCGCGACTCGCCTGCAACAGGTCGAAGAGAGGGGTTCGGGTTCAGGGTTCAGCCGCAAAGGGAAGGGCACGACACGGCTCAGCGACTCTAGGGCGAGGCCCGCATCGGAGCGCGCGAGCCAGCCAGGCAGGCTGCCGCCACTCACCCATCGGGTTGTACTTGAGGTTAAACTTGTCAAAGCGGTGGAAGGCGTCCTGGTGGGCGTGCATGTCGAGCGTGTCGATGCTGAGGTCGTAGGCGGTGAGGTTGAGCGACTCAAACACCTGCTGCAGCGTGAGGTCCTTGCCGTCGCGGTGGATGACGACGTCGTCCGGGTGGCGCTTGATCTTGGCCTTGATGAAGCGCAGCAGGTGCTTCTGGTTCATCGACGCGCTGTGGTGGATGTGAGTGTCGACCTTTCGCACGTTGTAAAAGTCGCGGTGCGGCACGCGCTTCATGTCGGCCAGCTCGCGGTACTCGTTGAGCAGAAAGTAGAGGTTCCACTTGCTCTCGAGGTACTTGAGCCGGCGCCAGGCAAAGCTCTTGACGGGCCCGTCGGAGATGACGTTGAGCAGAAAGTCGAGGTCGCGGAAGTACTCGCGGATCGTCGGGATCTTGAATACAGGCGACGGCGACGAGGTCGAGGTCGAGGCCGGTGCTTGGGCCGACGAGCTCGGGTCGCCACCGGACGAGGTGGCGGCGGCGGCAGCGGCGACCGCATCGGCCATCTTGGTCGGCGCGCCATCGGCCCGGTCGGCAGCGCCGGCAGCCGAGGGCGCCTCGCCGCGGTAGACCTGGATGACGCCGGCCTCGTCCATCTGCCACACAAACTTGTCGCCCTTGACGACGTGCTGGGCGGGGATGGCGATGT